ATTTTCTGTACAATTCAGAACTATGATCTTGCTAACTAATCAATCTTAACCAGAAATCTTAAACAGAATATTTCAACAATTCTGCTATAACAATTTTCTGTACAATTCGTAACTATAATCCTGATAACTAATAAACAATGTCGCTACACGCAACTTAAACAGAATAATCTATCGCTGGATTCGCAGCAACACTGTAGAAATAATTATCATCATATTCCAAAGCGAAATTGCTATAATCAAAACCTGCCGGTTACCATGCCCTCGATTAATTAAAACAGGCGTGTAAACTTTTTAAAGAGATTTTCCAATTTTAGGCAGATTTCTCCGTCGTGCAATTTTCCGTGGTATTTCGGGAATAGATTGCCCGATCGCGATTTTGCGATGCAAAATTGAACAGACTGCTATCGAAAGCAGACGATACGCGCATCGTTTACCAGCTACGAGCAGAATATCCCGCCCTCCGATCCGCGATAATTTCGTTGGAATAATTATCCGCGAGCCGCGAAGCGTCCAATAACCGAAATCGATTAAACGGTTCAATGTTACGTTTAATTTCCGGAAATTGGAAACAGTTTCTTCGCGGCCGAAGGGAGGAATCGAAAAATTCGACGGGAACGCATCGGCGTTATATTTCAGATCGCACAAGACGATGATATGTCGCTCGACTGTGTCACACGCTGGTACCTCCATTATTTATATAGGTCAACGATCCCGTCATTCTTGAAACGACGCCATCGGACTTTTGCTCGGACTGTCGACCCGCGATACAGCTTTCGCGAAGCTTTAATTTAGGATCGTTGCGACTCCGGCGCATTATTGTGTCGACGGAGCCGTCGAATCGCCTAACGACCGTCTCGAGAAGCGAATTTCTTTGTTTTCGCGAGATAAGCAACGGTCGATGTTTCCTGCAAAATCTAACGCTATTTAACTGTTTAGAAGTTATAGTTAGAGTTATAGTACGTATATAGTATAGTAATATAGTAAATATATAGTTATATATAGTATAGTATAGTATAGTATAGTATAGTATAGTATAGTATAGTATAGTATAGTATAGTATAGTATA